TAAAAAAAAATTATTGCCATTTTAAAAAATATCCCTAGACTTTTCCGATGTGTGTATAAGTTATGGGCTCTAACCCGTAATTATAATTTGGACCACTTCCTGTGAAATATCCAGTACTAAATATCTATTCCCAATAATTTCGGAATATCCCATTTACATTTTATTGAAGCAATATTAAAATATGTATTCGCGCGCCGTTGTTCTAGGCACCGGAGGTAAACGGGCATCTCAAAGTTCCAGCCATAGTGCAATTAGTTAGGTTAACCTCGTTGACGTACCTGTAGATGTCTTCGATCCTCGGGTATGGCAAATTCGTCGAAGGAGGTCTATGGCCTGTCGATGTGAGTTGGTTACCTTTCTTTATATTATGTAATCTAATTGATTTGCGGATCTTCTGACCAGAACATCCAGAAATGTTAGTTGTCTGTCTCAATCTCCTTCTCGTGAACTGAATACTTTAGACTGTTTTAGAAAGTAATTTAGACTTTCTCTGCCATGTTTATAGATAACAAATGAATCGTCAACATGTTGGTACTAGCCTGCAGGCTTTAGGCTTTTTGAATGACTACAAGGAACGGGACTTTGAAAAAAATACGAAAATATCCCAATCATACACCAAAACAGGAGGCAGTGACGAAAGCTTTTTTCAACCCTTCATTGCAAAAGTAACAGACAGGGTTGGTCGCTTTCTTGGAAAACACAAAATCTGAATAATACATGAGCCTACTTAGTCAGTCAATCCCAGCAAAACTGTGATAATCCTCTTCTCCAGGAGGAGAAAATTGGACGATTTAACGCCACTTTCCCTCAATGGTGAGGTCATTCCATTTGGAACGGAGGTGAAATATCTGGGCATTGTCTTTGATACAAATTATGGACCACTTATGGAGCAATGGTGAATGTACCTCCTGACGAAAATCAAGTAGTTTTCATAAAAGAGCTCTAAAACAACGCATTTTAAACTCATCATTTCAACCTTTTTCTTTGAAATACTTAAAAAAGAAGAATGAAATAATACATTCAACATTTAAAGGGATTCGTTTCTATTTCACCATTTGGCAACATCGGTTATAGCTAATANGAAGGCAATGAGGCTGCTGACTCGCTTGCAATGGAGGGTGCTACAAGCAGCTTCATCGGACCAGAACCTGTCATTGGCGTCGCTTCAGGCTTTGTCAAACAAACATTGAACACCTGGATGACAAAATACCAAAATGCCAAACAGTTGTTGGACTACAGTAGGGATGAACTACGATATCTAACAGGCTTTCTCACAGGTCACTGTCATTTGAATTATCATATGCAGAGACTCGGACATTCGGAAGACAGTGTGTGTCGTCTCTGTTTGGAAAATGATGAAACAACGGAGCACATTCTTTGTGCCTACCCCGCTGGATATCGAATTAGGTTTTCAGAGTTTGGCAGAGCCGTACTCTTACTAGCTGACCTGAAAGACCACTCACCAAACAAACTAATCGGCTTTGTTAAGAAGCTGGGTTTATTTGATCGAGTGTGAATAGGTGTGAGCCATAATAAATCCTTGCGGGTTGCTGTGGAGGGTCGAATAGACCCACTCACTTTTGACCTAACCTAACATATCTAGACACTTTAGCTTTGCTTGAGCGTTCCATGCTTCTATGGTGAAGTATATATTGGCTCTACCAAGTGTTAGATTGGCACAAGGGTTGCTGAGCACGAAATAGACTGCAGACTGGAAAACACGAAAAAATCAGCATACACTCAAAAGTGGAGAGCACAGGAAGAATTTCGAGAACACCCAACTTCTTGTCTATTCGTTGGGATTATACAACCGGTTAGTATATGTGGCAGGTAAAATCTACAAACATGATACTAAACTCAACCGAAAGGAAAAAATGATATTCAACAAAATTTGGACACCAGCTTTACGAAACACCAGTACGGCAAGAATATCCGAACCGTCTGAGCAAATCGGGCCGGCTAAACAACCCGCACGTGATTGACCATGAGTGGCCTTGTCAACTTCTTCCACTCATGAATATAGCCTGCTACCTCGAGGGGCCAGTAACAAGGACCTCTAAAGATGCTAGTTACCGCACTGGTGAATCGCCAAGAAGAAATTCCAATAGACGACAGCCTAAGAACACGAAACAACAAACAGTTTCTACTAATACAATTATTTCACTCTTGCTCTTCTGAACTCCCGTCGTCGCTAAGATGTTCAACAGTAAACAAGCGACTTCTACTAAAGTTATGTATCCGACACGAAGCTACTAGAACATTTCTAGCTTTCGTCATTTCTTATAGTAACATCTAGGGTGAAGATAAAATAATATAAATAATCATCCTCAACGATACTATATTGACTACTTGATGTATAAGTGCATGATTTTTATTGCATATTGAATAGTGTTTCTTAAATAATCACTACAGTGAGAAAATCTTCCCCGTGTCTCTCTTACGGACTCATGAAGTGTAGTAGTATTCTTGAAGTTAATTTTGATTTTTGCTATATAGTGTTTGTAACAGTGCAAAATACGAGTAGGAAGTTCTCATAACCTGCAATAAAAAGAAATATGATGAAACCAGGCGTCAGGTAATACTACATGAGTACAACATAATATTAAAAACAAGTAGTAGGGCTATGCGGATTCTGGGTCGTTTCGAATTCATCTGTAGTGGCCTTGAATCCGCATATGGTTTTGGTGGATGGCTTGGTCTGACAAAAAGTTTGCATCGCTCGAGATTGAACCTCGATTGCCTCATTTGAATTTCACCGCTACCAATAATGTTATTTTATATATTCAATCTGACCATTCATTGCTTTTTCAGTACCACGAATATAATAATTAATAATGATAATTTTTTATTATTTCCTTGTTAAAAAGTACATTGTTATACGTACAGTGACAAAGAAAACGTCTGAGGGTAGGACACGTTACAGAATATAATGTTTGTAGTAATCAATAATCTATAAATATGATACATATAGGTATATACATATAATTATTTGTTTGGCTTAGATTATGTAAAAAAAATAACTATAAATAAATGAAAGTCAATTTTATCACATAGTTGTGATATTTTGTCATTAAAATATAAAAAAACAGTTTAAAATTCGTCAAGTGTGTAGCAATTTTTAGCTTCAAAATAAAGCAAGTTATTGAAATATTTAAATTTTGTAGATTCATCCATTTTTTAGGATCATGAAAGGGAATGTTTTTCCATTAATGAAAAAAGATAATTTTCCAAAATAGTATTTAGTAGAAGAAGTGGAAACTAGTAATTTATGCTATCACTATATTTTCTGAATTTTTTTTACAGAATGATTACAAATTTTACCTTCACGAAGGAACCAAAAGAGTTTTTCAGTATTTTTTCGAAATCTCATCATCCGTTTATTATATTCATATGACGTTATCATAAAAGGTGTTGGTAGTATCCATTAGGAAAAAACATTGAGGTTATGAATTTGAAATCATTGACAAATTGGCTATCGTGTTGAAGAAAATACCAAGTGGACCTGAGGTACTCCGACCAACGTTTTGTTGGGCAATGTCGGATTATAGACTACTCATTTTTGAATGAGTACCTTGTAATCCGACAAATTACGCGTCGAGCACAATAGTGCTGGCCCGTACAAGTAAACAACGTATGTACCTACAATCAACAGAGATGGATAAAATGATAATTTTAAATTGAAAGGGAATATCGTTAGGAGAGATTAGGTTTTGGAAAAGAAAGGTTTTTTGCTTTCCATGTCCACATTTTTTAGAGTAGTAGAAAGGCTAAAGTTTGTTTATGAAACTAATCTCTCCTGAAAAAACATTTCTTGCAATTCAAACAAGATTCCGATGCTGGGATCAAATCAATGAATGAATGTCTTTACGTACTGTAATTATGACAAATTCACACGAATCGAATGATTATTCACGAACTTGGTAATGAATTTGACAATTATACATATTCATGGCTCACGTTAAATAAATCAATTCATTCCAGTGCCCTCATAAATTTTTTCTCCACTAGTTTTATTTGCCAGAAAACATCAGAAACAAACAGTTTTGTTTCATGAAAATTGGCTTTTGAACAGTTCTTCCATATTTACACAAGACCCCTGGATTGTATGGGCGTTGATTTCTGCTTGCAAATTTTTAATAGATGTGTGGAATTGGAATAAAAAAAAGAGGTTCGCACTTTGAAAGTAAAGTTAGTGATGAAATATAATGAACGAAAAGTCGCATTACTAATTGGTTATATTAGATTATAACGAATATGAAGCAGTAGTGGAGGTTCCTCTGCCTTTTTTTGTCATACAAAATGGAGGCAGTAGTAATTTTTTGTATATTACAGAATGGTTAAACTTACTGTTGGTGAGGATGGCCGTGTCAAAACAAATGTTAAGTTTATATAAATGATACATGCAGAAGGATAACTTGAAATTTTCTACATGAAATTCGAATACGAACTAGATAAGTACTTTCTGATCATTCCCATATTGATTTCAATTTAAGAGCCACCGGTAGACAGCTGTTTCAGCCTATTAGGTATCGTCAGTATCGGGCAGGCGGTCCTCGATTGAAGACAAAATGAGAAAAAACCAGAAAAGTACTTGATGAAAATAGATGCGTAAACGCAAGTGAAATGTATTTATATATGTGTGTGTGTGTGTTCTATTTAAAAAAATAAAGTTGCTAGGACTTTTTGATAGAAGTGGCAACGCCGCAATGCTGAAAATATTCCAGATCGATAGAACTGGTAAGGAAATGTAAGATGTGATATTTTCATGAAAATCCTGCTTTGTGTTTACCATAAACGTGTAACCTACCATGGACCGTGAGTCACGATGTATATAGGTGTACCTCAGTCGCTAATAATCCAATAGAAAAATGAACGTGATATATAGTTAGTTACCTTAACTATTATTTCATTTCCAAACCAACAATATATTGCTAGTTGGATCATCATTGCAATGAAGTAAACTAGTATAGGTATAAGCTGCATACTCATAGGATCAACCTGAAAATAGTTTGAAGGTCATAATTCCTAATTCATATTTCTAAAGAATCATTACGTGTACTAATTGGAACCCAATGTTACAAATAACGGCTGCACTTGTAGCGTACTGCATCAATATTATCATAGAAAATACTTTCTCCAAAATTTCGTGGAATCTGTAAAAATCAAATATTATTTGTTATTGTTACGAGATTTGTAACAACTTTGAAATATATTTCACTTCTCAACAATATCTGTCAATTATTAATTTTTGTCAATTGATGATATAACAATGAAGGACAGAAATTTTGGTAATTTCTTATAATGGACCAATTGATAACAACAACAAACGAAGATCAAAAATGAAAGAGCGTATTACTAATTAGGAAAAAATATTTCATGAGAGACTCATAAGGATCATTCTCTCTGACTTCAATATAGCATAGTGAACTTTGTTTTAACATTTTTCTAGCATTTCCTAACATTCACTATAAACTGAACGAAATTTGTTTCTTTACATTTCTTGACAGATCGTAATTAATGTGCAGGGAAATTATATTTTTGAGCATTGCCATGAAAAAACCAATTCCACCAGATCGAGTGATCTAGCCAACCTCTTCACATAAGACTCTTTTTTCAGTTACCTCACTCTGGTTCAGAACTTTTTGGGGACTGATTTGACTGATTATTTTATACTTTGAGTGGAATCTGTAGTAGATACTCGTCACAAAACTGGTGTTTCGGTTGCTGCAATTTTTACTGAGAGAGTAAAATTTCATAATAGGAGGCACTAAATTCTCAGAAATATTATTGCATTGAAACGAAAACATTGTTGTCAAGGTTCTGATTCTATATATTTTATAATTTTTCCTCATCTGTTCAGTAGCATTTCCGTACTCCACTGCAAGAGATAGATTAAGGCATTTCTGAGAATTTAGCGCCTACTATTTTGGAATTAATCGGCGTATTTTGGAAAGATGCACAGTCAGATATATTTGTCACGTAGCTGAAAGCCGTCCAGTATAAAGATATGAGCACATAAATTTCCAAACCTTGGAATCGTGAGTTTTGTGAGTTCAGCGAAAGAGATTTTTCTCTTGACCTCCGTCGCACGTGGACGACGGACGGTTATTAAGAACGGTATGAAAATTGGCTAGAGAGTACGGGGAGCTCTTGACATGAGGCAGCGGTCTCAGAGTGGTGCGGGAAATGTTCTGAAAGTAAGTATGTCGTGAACTTGCAGGAAAGTTCGAAAACTTGGAGTTTGAAGGGTTCTCTCGACGCTCGGTATTTTGTTTTGGGAGATAGTTTTCCTGGGTTGAATCTTTAAAAATTTAAATGAGGGACGAGCAGAAAGAAGGCAGCGGTGAGTTAAATGTACATCTGTACTAACCATTTTATGATTTTGGGAAGGAGTTAGCTATAATAAATTTGTATACAGAGTGAACTTAATATTTGCGTCAGAGTTATTTTGCGGTCAGAAATCACCAGTCAAGCTAGAGTATTTCGTCACTCTCATATAACTTTGAGTTCTATTTTCGAGATTTGGTTAGGATTATTTTCTTCAATTTTAGGTGTATTTCTTTGTCTATTTTGTTGAATAATTTTTCTTTTTTTTCATTGAATATAGTACCTTTTGAAGGTTTTGAACAGGCTTATTTATATTTCAAAACCTTCCTAGGAAGTGTCTGGGAATTCTTAAGATCTTTCTCTCTGCAACTGAAGACCTCCTGTTCGTGCAGGAGGCCAAATTTAAGCCTCTTTCGGAATTGCCTGACATCCAAAATTTGATGTGGATAAATCCGCATCTGGTAAAAGCAGCTGCCAGAATTAATTTAAATAGTTATTAACGTTACAACGTGGATATGTTGCAAATAACGGATGATGTTGAATATTGTAATTCAAGGCGAAGCCAAGGATTATAACAACCGAACCCGTTATTTGCTTATCTGCCGTGTGTCTTTCGTAATCTCTCTGATAGATCACCTTCTGATTTCAAGTTTTTTTAATTGAATTATCACTAACTAATTCAACTCATTCAGTGATATATGAAATAACAATTTGAAGCATATGACCTTCTATCTACTGGATAAGTAATAGTTTCACATGAGTTCAGGTATCAACTGATTGCTCCTCTGTCAGAAGGGCATGACTTCAACCACGACTATGACGTGCTACTTTTGGAAGAGAAATGTTTGAAACTCAATTTTTTGGAATGCCTGAAAATCAATAAATTCGAGAATTCTGAAAATTCACTGAAAAGTCAAGAAGTAATGAATACTTTTCCTATACTGAATATTTCTCACTTATTACGGTAATTACCTTATAACGTGTTCATCGTCCATTTAATGAGTTTGTGAAAATTGGGTATTCTTTAGTGGAAAACGTATTGTGGTTTTCGAAATTGTTGAGTGAACATTTCACAATGAAGTCTTACTTGAAAATGATAAAACAAATCGAAAAAATGTGACACATATTTCTTTTAATTTAAATATCTCAGAAACTTATTAAAAATATACTTTTATTGCCGTTTAAAAATATCTGATTATCTAGCCCTATGTATTTGGTCCATTCTATTGTAAATGAAACGTATTTATAGAAGATCAATATGATCAACATTTTACTTGCTTCTGTAATACCTTATTATTTTTACATGATGTTTCACACAGTTTTTCAGCCCCCTGTTGACCTGATCTGATCTATACATTCCAGATTCATCACAATCATTCAAACTGATGATTGTTCTGTTGAGTACCTCAATCTGAGCAGCACATATTCCCATCAAACTCATTGCCATCATGTCCAAACAAGAGTTATTTGTCGACGCGCTGATCAACCCTTCAAAAAAAATTAAATTTTGTTTCTAAAGACTCATTGACAAACAAGTATTATTTGCATAGATGCATAAAATATCCCTGGTGTGATCATTTGGATAAAAGATTCATAGAAACACTGGTGTTCAAGAAAATTCGCTTTCTTTTTGTCAAAAACTCTGAACATATGGCACTCCTGATAAAAAAACTGATAAGGATATCCCCAAATTTTCAGCATTTTATTTATATTGTAGAGGAGTGTCACTGCTCTACAATGTCAAGTCGGGACTTCAATTTCCAATGTTATTCACATTTAGGAATAATTTGGTATTGTATAGGAATTTAGGCTTTCACGGCTGGCGTCGATGTTTTGGTTGGTTACCGGGTTTTGCCGTTGTCTTCTTTGCTCATGATATCCAAACGTTTCAACTGCAACTGCGGCAGTCATCTTCAGTGGCGTGGTTGAAGTAGGGGAGAATGGGTACAATTGTAACAATATTGAGATTTGATTTTTTCTGAAAACAACTACTGTGCACCGTTGCATGAGTTGAATATCTAGCTTTTATTTTCTATATAATATCTATGTATGTTGTGAATTTTGAAACCAGAAAAATGCATATTGTGCTCACTTGAAGAATGTTACAATCTCACCCACCGAGGGGACAGTTGTAACACAGGAAAGGGGCAATTGAAACATTATCTGAAATACCGTCATTACACATGACGATGTTAATGTTTTTATTAAAAATGATGATATTCAGTTTCAACTTATTTATTGTTATTCGCAAACAATTGAAACCATTAATCACTATCGTATTCATCATCATCACAATTAACACAAAAGAAAAAATGAAGACGCAGCTTATGTGCACAATTTTCATGTGCCCACTTTTTACATATGTCACACTGAATCAACGTGGATGACGATGATTCTTCGTACATTTTGAAGCAATAAGGACACATTGATTCTTCATCATCTGTGCTAACGCAGATTTTTATTTTGTCATTTCTCGTTCCTTTCGATTTTCGTTTGATTTTTTTGTTTTTGTTGTCTTCAACTTTTGTTCACTCCTTTTTCTTCTGAATCCATTTTAATTTTGGAATTGTTTTTCTGAGATGTCAGTTAGAGTTGCACTCTTTTTTGTTCTTCTTTTTGTATTTTTTTTCTAGTTACTGTAACTTTTGGAAGTGGCCGATTAGTTTCCAAAACTTTAAAAGAAATATTGAGCTGGTTTTCTGGCGAACCAAAATCAGGCTTACAGTTAGGACCTGAAATAGCAATAATATATACAAATGTACCCACCGACCGTGTTACTATTGTATCGACATCACATTATAGGAAACTATTCGCAAACGATAAAAAAGTACAACACATAACCTTAAATTACTTACAGATGAACTACCTGTGTTAACTCAATTACTTTAGGACAATTGCTAACACGCCAGTTGTACGGAAAATTTGAAAATACGTAAAATTCAATTACAGATCGCAAAAACGCACAAATTTCACTCACACCCTATCACTTCGATGGATGTTTACCGACAGCCATCTTGGTTTCAAATAGGTTGGTGCCTGGCTCCCTTACCCTTGCAACTGGTCAATCGACGGATGTTTCTCAACGGCGGTAAACCTATTTGGACTACATGATTATTCAAATGCTGTGCTGCCAAAACTATAGATCAAAGAATAAACGGCATTATGGGCGGTGTTACAATTGTACCGCGTTACAATTGTATCCACTCTCCCCTACTATTCACTGAAACTGAAGCTCTCATTTTTGCTGAGTCATTTATAGTGCTGATTTTTTGCGTTCTTTCTGTAATGGCGGATTCGCGCGTACTTCCCGCGCGATTTGGGTGACTTGGCTTCGTTTGAAAAGCCAGCATTGAAAAGCGCTAAGTCACCCAAATTGGCCTAAACACCCCTTCTCACCTCATTGAGTTATTCTTACAGTTATCGATGAACTGTTTTAAACAGCTGAGAAAGAGGCGTAGAATTGTTTTCTGTTCAAGTACTTGATATTAGATATGAGATTTTTAAGGGAAAATGGAAAATTGTGGATATGTACCTGAATATTAGGTCAATTTTAAAATACTCGTTCTTCCTGAACGCAAAATTTTATGCTCCAAAACTTTCAACCTATGACTGTTTTCGATTGGATTAATTGTTTTGGAGTTACAGCTCTTCAAAGTGCCTGAAAAGGGATTCTTCCAAAAAATCGACGCAGATTTTATTGCACTTTTCAATGAAATGCTTCCTTAACGAGTTGTAAGCGAAAAACTGAAAAAAGTCTATTAATTTCGAGGTTTTTAAGATCCTAAAAGTTGTTTCGATAAAAAATGTTGTTGGATTCGCTTAGTTTTCCACTATTGGGGTGCTGATACACCAATTGACATTTAGAAACATATCATAGGCAATCACCCCTTTGGATGTCTAGATTGATTGGACTGTTAAGCGAAAGACCTGAGCGGTCCTCAATCCTACTGATGGGCACTTAAACAAGATTGACATCTGACCGTCTTTGTTCGAAAGTCAGCCTTAGGTGCTATTACTTTCCGATCTGTTAAATACTGAATATACATACAATGTTATCCTCATTTATACCACACATACCTCGGCTAGGTACCTGCGTCTCAGTTGTCTCAGATTAATTTTACAATGTTGCCGTATCTATTAGTGAATATTACTGGAGGTTCTTTCCCAACACCAAATCGTTATTTTCAACACCTCGACACGTGTTTCGATCACCAAGTGATCATCTTCAAGAGGAAGATTAAACTGGAAACTTTCCTAAGCTAACGCTATTTATGCTATGCAGGTATACTATACAGGTAAACCATACAGATATACCACCCATACAGGTATACCACCCTAAATTAATTTTACAATTCAACTTGTCTAACTAATCTTATTAAACTGAAGTCTATGGAATGGTTTTGTTGCAAAATATGATGGGCGACTGCTGATTTTTCGGATCTTCCATAAGTGTGCTATGTGTTCCTTGTATCTTACTTTAATAGATCTTTTTGTCTGTACATAATGTCTGTCCCCACTTCACGTTCAGCTGTCGTCGAGAGTGGACGTGTTTGTTAGAACGGTTGAATTTGAAACCTGTTAGTGGTATTAGTTATCAAGTGATGGTAAAAGTGAAAAAGGACACATAAAAAGGTACTTGGCATTGTTAATTATCAAAACAAAGTGATAGAGACACAAAAAGTGTATAACAGTATTTTATTAATCCCATGCAATTTCTAAAAACGGAATTCTGCATTGGATTGAAATACGTAAAAACACCGAACAAATCGTTCAAAACGAAAGAAACTTATCGGAGTTGTATTTCTACGGACCAGGATGATTTGAACAGAACCATTCTGGAGGGATCCAGTGGAGAAGAGGGAGAGGAGTCAGCGGCTGGAGCTGGCAAAAAAGCTGGGGATGCACGGTCCATGGTCGCCGGGATTGGGGACATGGTCGACACGATCCAGAAGGCTACCACCAGGTACTCCGGAGGAAAAATACAGTTTAACCGGGACGAACAGCTGGCGGTAAGTAACAGCCTGCAGCGACTCATGACTATAGTAGGTAGAATGGGAAGCAGAATGGCTCAATTAGAGACGAGAGAGCATCTGTTGAGCGAAAGAATGAGAGATCTAGAGAAAAGAGTAAGCGTGCATGAACGCGAAAGGGAAATACTTATGGCAGTGGGGATTAGACTGGAAGGGATTGTAGACTGGATGAATAGGTTTGGAAATGAATGGAGGGACATGAAAGCACGGTGGAGAACCTCACGAGAGGTAAACCTAAGCCGGTTCAGACGAGAACGAGCGAAAGGTCGGCCGAAAGGACGACCGAAAACACGTCTCATGAACCAAGTGAGGCAGAAGGCACTGACCGGCCAACCACAGCTGGGACGGGAGCTGATACGGATATGGAAACGGACGCTGAATTTCGTGTAGCGTCAGTAAGCAGGCGAAGGAGAAGGAGAACCAGGAACAGGGACAGAAGAACATATGCCAGTGAGCTCAACCGAAACAGAGGAAACGAACAAAGGCCAGGATGGACTACGCCGACAGCAATGGAAGGAAGAGATCGTTGTTCTTGAGGCCGACGAGGAGGACAGTACACCCACGGCTAGGATAGTGGGTGAACGATTACGAAATGGGGGGGGTGATGAACTACGTAGAAGCCACCACCCGGAGTCGCAATGGGGTTGTGGTCCTAAAAGGAAAAGATGATGAAGTTAGGCAGAGGATCAGGGAAGCGCTTCAGAATGAAAGCAGGGTGAACGTTAGAGAAGGCAAAAAACCGAATCCCCATGTCATGCTCACAAGGGTGGAAAAAGGATATGGGGACAAGGTACTGGTAGACCTCCTTCTGGAGCAGAATCCATCTTTGGTGGAGGGGCTCGCGGAGGAGGATATCAGAGGGATGCTGGTACGAAAGAGGAGAGAGTGCAGGGTAAATAGATGGAAGGAAAACATAATTGTAGAGGTGAATCCGATGCTCTTCCGGAGGATGATGCGAATGGAGGTGATAAAATTAGACCTAGCGGACATATATGTGGAGGAGCACAGCAGTGTAGCGGTGTGCTTCAAATGTTGTCATTTTGGGCACACTTCTAAGATATGCAAGCAGGACCCAGCATGCAACAAGTGTGGAGGTATACATGAGGGGAGAGAGTGCAGGGGAGATAGAGGGCTCAATTGCATTAATTGCAAAAGAGCCGGAGTGAGAATGGATGAAAGAAGGCACTCGGCACTTGATCCAAAGTGCCCGGTATACATGAGAAGAGTGGAGCTGCAACGGAGGAGAACCAATTATGTTCAGGGTCCTTCAAATTAACGTCAGAAAGGGAAAGGAAGCTACAACACTGCTGCGGAGAACCGCTGAAGAGCGAGGAACCGCAGTAGTGTGTATCCAGGAGCCATGGGTCAAAGAACCACCTTGGGAGGGATGGCTGAAATACGACGGAGGGGAAGTATCGAAGGTTCGAACCTGGGTTCGTACCTCCGTTGAAAGCTTAG